ATAGTTCGTCAGATGTATCTGTGGACTCACATTCAACTGCATCTCCTCCCACGGCTTCGGTCCCACCTTCGGATAGTGACCTTCCCATTGCTCTTCGTAAGGGTACTCGTGATACTCTCCCTCCGGCCAGGTATACAGTCAATATTAGTTATCATCGTCTTTCTCCATCATATTTTGCTTGTCTTTCCTCTTTGTCCTCTGTATCTGTTCCTGAGACCACATGTGATGCACTTTCACATTCGGGATGGAGACAAGCTATGAAAGATGAAATGAGTGCTCTTCATCATAATGGCACATGGGACCTGGTGCCTCTTCCTTCTGGAAAATCTGTGGTTGGTTGCAGATGGATTTATGCTGTTAAGGTTGGACCTGATGGTCAAGTGGATCGTCTTAAAGCTCGCTTGGTGGCGAAGGGTTTCACTTAGGTCTTTGGCTTGGATTTTATTTATATTTTTTCTCCTGTGGCGAAAATGTCTACTGTTCGCCTTTTTATTGCTATGGCTGCTATTAGCCATTGGCCTCTCTACCAACCGGATATCAAGAATGCTTTTCTTCATGGTGATCTTGAGGAAGAAATTTATATGGAGCAACCTCCTGGATTTGTTGCTCAGGGGGAGTCAGGTCTTGTTTTTCGTCTTCGTAAGTCTCTCTATGGCCTCAAACAATCTCCAAGAGCTTGGTTTGGTAAATTTAGAAGTGTTGTTCAACAATTTGGCATGACTCAGAGTGTAGCTGATCATTCTCTCTTTTATCGTCATTCTGCTTCTGGATCTATTTATCTGGTGGTATATGTGGATGATATTGTCATCACAGGCAGTGATCAGCATGGGATCACTCGATTGAAACAACACTTATGTCATCATTTTCAGACTAAGGATCTTGGGAAACTTCGATACTTCTTAGGAATCGAGGTGGCCCAATCTAAAGCTGGTGTTGTGATATCTCAGAGGAAATATGCTCTGGATATTCTTGAAGAAACTGCTCTGTTAAATTCAAAGTCTGTTGATACTCCTATGGATCCAAGTATCAAGCTTCTACCAAATCAGGGGGAGCCCTTTTCAGATCCTGAGCAGTATAGAAGATTGGTTGGAAAATTGAACTACCTCACAGTCACTCGGCCTGATATTTCCTTTGCAGTTAGTGTTGTCAGTCAATTTCTCAATTCTCCATGTCAAGAACATTGGAATGCAGTCATTCGTATTCTTAAGTATATCAAGGCATCTCCAGAAAAAGGCCTTGAATATGAAGATAAAGGTCATGGTAAAGTGGTTGGGTATTGTGATGTTGATTGGGCTGGTTGTCCAACTGATAGGAGATCTACTTCTGGGTATTGTGTCTTTGTTGGAGGCAACTTGATTTCTTGGAAAAGTAAGAAACAAAGCGTAGTTGCCAGATCAAGTGCTGAAGCAGCATACCGCTCCATGGCGACTACTACTTGCGAAGCTCATCTGGCTTAAACAGCTTCTCAGAGAACTTAAGTTTGGAGACACTGGACAGGCAACTCTCATTTGTGATAATCAAGTAGCTCTACATATTTCATCAAATCCAGTGTTTCATGAAAGAACCAAGCATATAGAAATAGATTGCCACTTTGTTCGAGAAAAGGTTCTTGCTGGTGAAATTAAAACTAGCTTTGCACCCTCTAATGAGCAATTAGCAGATGTGTTTACAAAATTTTTGAGGGGCCCTCGAATAGAGTTTATATGTAACAAGCTTGATGCATATGACCTATACGCTCTAGCTTGAGGGGGAGTATTAGAAATATATTGTAATTAGGGTTTCCTTATTTTGTAATTAGGGTTTCCTTATATTGTATTAGGTCAGATTACATTAGGTTTGGGCTTCGCCCATTAGTCTGTTTATATATTGTACAGCCTTCATCAGTCAATACACACAGTATTATTTCAAATGTTCTCTCTTCTCTCTCGTTATTTAACAATCATCATCATCATCGATCATTGTGTGATATAAAAATTCATTGCTCTTCTCTCTTTCTTTTTTCCCTTTCCCTTTGGAACTATTTTCTATATGTATTTCGACTATAATAATACAAATAATTATTTAAACAACAAGTGGATTAACAAAAGTTTGAATTTATTTGAATTGTGATATTTAGGCATCTTTTAAAATTTAAAGCAGTGTTAAAAAATCTAACACTATAAGTAATTTGGTGATATACGTTGAATATTAAAAAAAAAAACTACTAAACCTTGTCTACGGAGCGCACTTTCAGTACTACGGTCGTACCTAATTGAATGCAACTTTTGTAATTTACACTATATATTATCAGTAGTATAGAATGTGATTATAAATTTTTTTTTCTCTCTTCAGTTTAAAGGTAACTAACATGACACGCTTCTATTGGCTGGTCACACCTACACCGATTATATTCTAGTATCATTATAATGTATTTTTACTATTAGGGGGCGTTTGGTACGAGAGAAATATTTTTTTTACCGGAGAACTGATTTTGCTGGAATGTGGTTGGAAACAATTTATCCCAGATAAGTTTTAAAAATATGTTTGGCTGATCAAAATTTTTCCAGAAATATTTGGATAAATTTATTGAGTTAATGTTTGGTTGAGTGTGAAATAGTAATATGAAAGTGGGGTTATTTTACAAAAATAACCCCACTTTTAGTTTTTTGTTCAAATTTAATAATTAAATAACATCCGCGTGTGGGTGTCGTGTGAGGTACTTCATTCATATTTGAGAGTTACTCAAATCAACAGTACACAGCTCTGTGTTCACACCCTTTCAAAGACTGGTTCTGCATATATGGGCGTTGTGAAGACATTGTGGTGGGCTTCGTTGACGGAGACGGAGATCTGCACACAAGCATTCAAGAGTTTGTCCTCCGTTGGAGTTGAGTGGAGAAGGTGCCCGGAGTTCGACACAAGGTTCTATATCAGTTTTAGATCTAACAACATCAGAATTACCTGTGAAAAGGAAGGTGTATCTGTGGCAAAAGTGGAACAGGACCTCGTTGAATGGCAAAGGTATTTTTTCGTAATCCTCTTCGCAGTTCACATTTTACTTCCCCGAGCAACGACGAAAGACGTATTTGAGATGGACAACATGTTTCCATTGCCGTACATGAAATCACACGTGAAATGCAAAATACGGGACAACTTCTTGCCGGGGATAATTGCTATTTTTCTGGTACCAAACACTGCTATTTCAAGTTCCGGATGTTGCTTTCCCAGGGATGCAAAAATTATCTCAGTACCAAACGCCCCCTTAAGGTCATATCCTAAATAAAGTTGTTCACGCAGAACTTACGTAACAGAAATAAAATAAAAAGCACACAGATTTATTTAAATATAATATTTTATATTTAATAATAATATTTATTACACATTTGAAATAAATCATTTAGCTTTAAATACTTTTATAACCAAAATATTATATCGAGAAATTTTGATTAAATGATTAATTTCTTTTATAATCAAAATGTTTATTTCATTGATTACTCCAATATTCATAATTCCCTCTTAAATGGTCTGTTGGCAATCTTTAATGATTTTATATTGACTATGTCATTTTTCATATTATATATAAGCAAATATGAAACGCACTTGACTCTTAATTAGCTAACACAGCATCCGTGATTCAAATGAGCCAAAACGTATCCGTTTCTTTAAAATAGATCTTTCCGTATAAATTATCAATAAAGATGTCGTTTATTTTATCCTTTGGTCGAAACAATAACATACTACGAATACAATATCATAAAATAAAAAAATATCTCGATTCTCGTTCTCGTAATTATTTAGAAAATCATACGAAATAAAATTTTTTATTATTTCAACACATGTTGCTTTTATACTTTTTTCTAGTTTAAAAAAAATAGTATAAGATATCATGTCTATTTTTTTCATATCTACTCTACTTATTTCCTTCAATACTATTATATCAGAGTTTTAAGAGAAAAAAAAAATATTAATTGAGATTCTAATTTACTGATATTGAAAAAAGAAGAAGATAGACTATAGATATGAAAAAAGATAGATTAATATCATATCTCTAAAAAAAAATAAAGGATTAAGAAATATTATAAGAATGACATAAGAAAAATAAAATATAAATAGCATTATTGTTAAAAAATGGGAAGGAGTGCCTCACGACTCACGAGTCATGCCTCAATCCTCATGGGTGAAAAATGAAGTGCCCCATGCCAGCCACAACATAACCCAATAATAAAAAAAAGCTTTGCAAATACAAGAAAAAAAAAACAAAGATAATCCTTTATTTTCATTATCTTTGCTGGTTAAATTTGCCCCGTTTTCTCCAATAAAAAGAAAAAAGAAAAACATTTTTCTTATGTGCAAAAATAATAAAAATGAATTATATCATGTGTTAAATAATATGATAACGTGATATGAGAAGATTTTAATCATTAATATATAAATCAATGATGATAATTTTATAAGTTTTTATTTTACTTTTTTTTCACATCCCTTATTATTATCTATTTACTCCAGAATATCACATGATAAGATCATATTAAATATAATATAAGAGGATTTATTTTGAAAAAATATTAGTAATAAATATATATATTATTATAGAGAAGATTATATTTATAAACTACACCAAGTATGACCGATCATATTTCAATAAAAAATATATGACCGATCATATTTAATATAATTTGTAATTTTTTTTCTAAACGGATACTTTCTATTATTATTATGAGGGTTCATTTTTTATGCATTTGATAGAGATAAGTTATCTGCATTGATGAGCTTAAAACGATGTTGTTTTAAGGCAAAAATAAGGTATTTTTATAATTTTAAAGTTATAATAGTCTTTATAATTATAATTTTTTAATATTTTTACACCAAAATAAGACTAATTTGGGAGTAAATGTAGACAAAAATATTTATATGTTATTATTATTATTATAACAGTGATATTTGTTTAGTCCTTTCCTTCTTTTTGGATCGGATCTGAGACAAAGTGGGTTACTTGACTCTTGTTCATTGTTCAGTGGTGCAGAAAAGTTACTTCACTTTCTGGGTGTGGTTCTTCTTCTTCTTCTTTTTTTCTTTCTTTATCAGCATGCTCCTTTCTTTTGCTTCTTCCTTCACCACGCTTGAACAAATGAAACAACATTTCTTGCTCTTAATCCGCATTGCCATTTCTCTCCTCTGATCAGGTTCTCTCTCTCTCTCTCTCTCTCTCTCTCTCTACCTTTTGCTTCTTTCTTCATGGTGACTTCTTCAATCCATTGCTTTTTCTTTATGGGGAGGTTGTCATTCACTTGAGTGGAATCAAAGAAATCTCAACGGGGCTTCTAAAGAATCAAACTTTTAACTTGGGTTGTTTTAGTTTTGGTTATTCTTCTGGGGTTCTGAATGATGAGGCTTGTTTGTTCTTCGTCAAGTTGTGGTCTTGTTTGTTTTGTAGTGACCAGAAAAAGGAACACGTGTTCTTGGGGAACTTGAAAAAAAAAAAAAAAAAACTGAGCCCTGTGCTCTCTGAAAGCCTTGTGAATTTTCTTGAGGTTTTATGGAATCCTTGTTATGTTTGTCTTTTGTTAAGGTGTCTGAATTTGAAGTCTTCCATTTGGGGCTTTCTAAATGGATTCTATTGTTTTTCTGTTGATTGTGTCTGAAAGGGATATCTTGCAGATTTTCTCATGTTTTCTTTATTTTTTTTTATTTTTTTTTTTTATATTTCAACCAGCATAATTACCTTGGATGGTTTCCTGTTTTTTGTGTTTCCTAAATAGAAATATTGTAGATATTTTTATAGTGTAGGGAATTTTGTGATTAGGAGCCTTTTTGAATGAGTACATATTGGTAATTAACTGTGCTGAGTTGGATTTTTAAGCTTTTTCAGATATCCTTCATGGAATCACCTGTCAATGGAGTTGAGTCCTTACCTGAGGTTCAGAATTCAGTTTCTGGGGTACATCACGATCCTCCTTCAACATGTGGGACTCCCCGTCCTTCCCGGCCTCCCTTGAGAGCATCTAGAAATCATGGAGCTTCTTCCACATCCTATTTGGCTGGTCAACATAATTATCCAACAAAGATCATTCACCATCAAAACAGCTATGTAATTAATCAAAAGCATTCCTATCAGGAAGGCAACAATGTGGAGCATGGCGGATTGCCAACAAAATTGTGCAGCAAGCAACCTTTTGATGATTCAAAGAATTGTGATTCAAGTGGCGTATTAGAATCTGACAATTGCGTCTTAGGTCCATCAAAACGAGCTGTTGTTAATCATGCAAAGAGTTACTATCAGTCAGAGGTTACTTTTTGTCCAAGTCCTCAGAATAGTTTCTATTCAGCCACTGTCTATTCAGAAGCCAAAGAAAGTTTCACTAATACTGAAGTCAGTGAGTGTGCTAGTGTTGATAAGTCATGTGAAAGTGGAGAAGTTACAAATTCCTGTGATTTTAATGAGAGTAGGAAGACCAGCATCTGTAGAGGGAGCACCGGAAGTGATATTAGTGATGAGAGCAGCACCAGTAGTTTGAGCAGTGCTTTGTATAAACCCCATAAGGCAAATGATATAAGATGGGAAGCAATTCAAGCGATCCGAGCTCGTGATGGAATGTTGGAAATGAGGCATTTCAGGTTGTTGAAGAAATTAGGATGTGGAGACATAGGAAGCGTTTATCTAGCAGAACTGAGTGGCACAAGGACTTCTTTTGCCATGAAAATCATGAACAAAACAGAGCTGGCAGGCCGCAAGAAGCTTCTGAGGGCTCAGACGGAGAGAGAGATATTGCAGTGTTTAGATCATCCTTTTCTACCCACATTATATACACACTTTGAGACAGAGACATTCTCCTGCTTGGTAATGGAGTTCTGCCCTGGTGGGGACCTGCATGCACTCAGGCAAAGACAACCTGGCAAGTATTTTTCTGAGCATGCTGTCAGGTTAGCAATTCCTTTTTCTGCTTACCTCCTGCAATTATATCTATATATAACAAGCATACACATATACAAGGATCAGTGAACTTGATATTAGCTAATTCTATATTCCTTGGATTTATGAACTGAACTATTCCATGGAACCTGGAGGGAAACTGTGGTCATGAAAGGAAACTCCATCCCTTTCTGTGGGAATAAGGGAAAGCTTTATAGCAGCTGAGGTTTTGATAATATAAATGAAAAGCCAGACTGTTCTAGTGTACTTCCTATCCATTGTGGTTCATATATGTTGTGAAACATGACCCTTGAGATTCTACGTAGCGAAGATAATTTGTTTTCTGCTCCCCTCGCAGTCTGAAAACTCTCCTGGTTTTTCAACCCTGGTTAAGGATGTCTTCCAAATTATAAAACTTATCGCTTGCACTCTCTACCCATTCTTTCTCTGCCTTTTATGATTAGTCGATCACTTTAGTTCTCTGCTTCCCCTCTTCCACCAGTGTGATATTCTGCTTCTGTGAGAGTTTAATTTGAAGCCATTGTCATTTGTCACTACTCACTGCTAGTGAAAAGTTTTACACCATCTTTCAATCAATTGTTACTACATCATTAAAGCTGTTAAATGTAAAGCTCTTTTAATTATGTGGCAATACATGATTGAATGAGTGCAAAAAAGTTTTTTTTTTTTTTTTTAATTAAACTCATTCTATAAATTATGGTTGGTGCTTAGTGATCGTACAAATAGTCATTTTCTTGCTTCTTTTCATTCCAAGCATGATGAATACTATGAGTAGGTTCTCTTTCTCCCCCAGTTCTTTTTCAGTGGCTTTTCTTCTGGGAGTAACTAGTATCCGTTATTTGTCATCAGTACTTTCTGTACTTCATTAGCAGCTAAGAAGAATCTGATTGCTTCCTTGGTGGAAACCATTCCTCTGTACCTAGTCCCATCCAACTTATGACAAATAATCTCGCATGTGTTTGGTAACCAATTATTTCTGAGAAATAATAACTTTTTTCAAAAGCTCTCTCAAGATGAGGAAAAAACAAAAAAACGGATTGATTTCCAAAAATAAGCTAATCCATTGCTTATATATTACCTTCTAGTTGCCTGTGTAGGAGAGATGAACTTTGACTTTATTTTTTAAAGTATCAGAAATGGTACAACTAAGCATATTGTCATTTCATTAATCTGCATTTTTGGTTTGCAGGTTTTATGTGGCAGAAGTTCTCCTTGCTTTGGAGTATTTGCACATGCTTGGGATCATCTACAGAGACCTTAAACCTGAGAATGTGTTGGTGAGAGAAGATGGTCACATAATGTTGTCAGATTTTGATCTCTCTCTAAGGTGCACTGTCAATCCAACTCTAGTAAAGTCATCAAACCCTAACTTGGAGACAAAAAGCTCAGGATACTGCATTCAGCCTGCTTGCATTGAACCAACATGTGTACTCCAGCCAGACTGCATCCAACCCTCATGTTTTACACCGCGTTTTCTATCTGGAAAATCCAAGAGAGAAAAGAAGTTTAAACCAAAGAATGATCTGCATCATCAGGTGACCCCTCTTCCCGAGCTGATTGCCGAGCCCACAAATGCAAGATCAATGTCCTTCGTAGGCACACACGAGTACTTGGCGCCTGAAATCATCAAAGGTGAAGGGCATGGCAGTGCTGTAGACTGGTGGACATTTGGAATATTCTTGTACGAGCTTTTGTTTGGTAGAACACCATTCAAGGGTTCGGCGAACCGCGCAACTTTGTTTAATGTTGTTGGGCAGCCCTTAAGGTTCCCAGAATCTCCTACTGTCAGTTTTGCTGCCAGGGACTTGATAAGGGGTTTACTTGTGAAAGAACCTCAGCATCGTCTTGCCTATAGACGTGGAGCTACAGAGATTAAACAGCATCCATTCTTTCACAATGTTAACTGGGCACTCATTCGTTGTACAAATCCTCCAGAGGTGCCAAGACAGGCTGTGAGACCACCCCAAAATGAAAAGGAGCTTGGTGTGAATCCTACTGGTAATTATTTAGATATTGATTTCTTTTGATCTTTATGGTTTTTGTTTTCTCCTCCTTCGGACTAGTTTCCAATCTATCATTTCTGTTGTTTTGTCTGTCAGTTTGTCCATGGTTCTTTCCTTTTCATAAATCTTTATAATTTGTCCATGATAAACTGTTTTAAGAAATTTCAAGTGCCTTCAATTCAGGAACAAAGTTTCTGTTCTCTCATTTACCTCTATTCCTTTCAAAAAACTGTGTTTTTTTTGGATAATATTATGGTCAAGCAATTCCTAGTTATTCTATGAAGTATTTATGCATATTAAATGTTGGATATCACAAAATTTTTGTAAATATAATTTTTGAGGATGATTATACTTCTAACCTATTTTTGTTTACAACATTTTACAATCATATCTTAATACCGTTGATTTTCACCAATCAATGGTTATTATTTTTTCAAATCAAACTCATTAATTATGCATTAATTATCAACGGTTAAGATATGGTTTTAAGAGGTTGTAAACGAAAATAGGTTGTAAGTATAACCTTTCTCCTAATTTTTTTCACCCAAAAAAAAGCAACACAGTATTACTATAAACTGTTATTTTACTCCGTATTTATCCATATTGAAAGGCATATATAATAATTTTAGTCGTGTATTAATTATCAAGCCACTAACACAGAAATATTATATTATGGCTCAATATTTGAATTGTAATGTGGCTTGATATTTAGATAAAATGCATGTTGAATGAATGCAAGGCGTCTAGAAACAAGGTGTGCTTCACAAAACAATAAAAAAACTCAAAACTCCTGATTTGACCAAACAAGGAAGAAAACAAATAAAAACTCAAACTCATACTTTGACCAAACAAAGATCATGCGTCATCACTCATGCTCCTTCGTTCTTGAAAGCAGTCCAAAAGAAATTTTTTATCATTCTTGTTTTTGTTTTATGTTTTTTAAATCTTGGGTTCAAATTGGTTGACTTTATTAATGTCTTTTGCCTCCACTTCGCCCTTGGATGGAAAATGATTCGTTGATTTTTTTATACAATGGAAGCAACGAGATTCCAACTTATGATTTTATGTATTATCTCAATTCTTCACCGCTAGACTAATTTTAGTTAGTGGCTTATTTGTTGATTTTGTTATGCGTTTTAAGACATATAAATTGGTCAAACAAAACTATAATAACAAGTTTAACTGCTCTAAAATATATAATTATAAATTTTCTGTTTTATATTGAGTGGAATGAAATGTTCTTGCATGGTGTGGAGCGTTTATGAATAAGAAGCGCGTGGGGGTGGATTTGAAAATTGGGGCGCGAGAAGGGCAGTCCAACTGACGTATAAATTTTGTGTTCTCTCATTTACGGAAAATTTTTAAATATCACCATCGTATTCGTAGGTATATCCGACTAATAGGTATAGGTTATGTAGCATCGATACTGAGACGTCACACGATACTTTGACACGTTAATTTTAAAAAATGTTAGATTTCGACACGTTAGGACACGTTTTGATATTAAATAATATTTTTAATTTATGTTGCGTATATTATATTTAATATTCAATAATTTAACAAAAAAATAAAGCTAAACTTATAATACCTATTAATTTTGCAAAGAAACATAAGATATCACAAATATTTATATTAAATTTAATAAAATGGTAATAGTAATTCAACAAATCTAATAGTTACTTTAGTTTTCATTGTATTTCCAAAAAAAAAAATCTAATAGTTATAACTAAAAATATAACACAACGCAACATTTGAATCTGTTTTTGAGTTTCTACAACGCGCATTGGAGTGTCGAAGTATCGAAGAGTGTCGGACACGACACGTCAGGATTTTTGAAGTGTCAGTGCTTCATAGGGTATATCTTACTAATAGGAGCGTGCCGCATCAGCGTATATTATACTGAAGAGAGAAAAAAAAATTAGTTTTATATTTTACAGTAAATCTTATTAGTAAGACTTAATATAAAACACACTGTCGCATCTAATTTTCAATACCATTGTAGTACTCAAAATGCACTCCTCGTTTATCTCTATTCCTTTCAAAAATTTGTTTTTGGATGATAGTATGGTCAAACGATTCCTAGTTATTCTATGAAGTATTTATGCATATTAGATGTCGGATATCACAAAATATTTAATCTTATGCATTCATCTTCGAACAGCTGACAACACAAAATTATGACCTGGACCTGGGTTAACTATTTGTGTTGTACCATTCTTCTTTGTATTGTTCCTTAACAAGTTAACATTCATCAAATGTCCGTCCATTAAATCATGTTATAAAATTTTATTCGCGTAACCAAAAAAAAGAAGTAGCAAAAGAGTATTACAATAAGCGAAAAGTGTGTGCCAGTTTTAAAAAAATAAAGACAAAAAAGTAAAATAAGGGTGTGAATCTCTTCTCTTTGTATCTATGAAATGATATAACTTGTGTCATTTGAAATGAAACACATTTTTCCTTCCTATAAACTATGTTACTAGTGAATTACTCGTGCGATGCTCGGGGGAAAAAGAACAAAATTGTTGTCGGCTGTCGTTGGTTAATCATCACTTCGGGTAAATCAACACCTTCATCGTAGTGTGAAACTTTAAATTTTAATGTGCTAGAGATATAAACATAAAATTATAAATATAAAGGAACAAAAAACACAAAAAAGCATATCTGTTCTGAAATGGAAATGAATTATCGTGCTATGTTGTGGTACTTTTGAACTTGAAAAAACTACCGCATTCACGCAGAACTTTGAAAATAACTACTTGCCAAATTCTTGAATGAAGTAAAAAGGCGACAGAGTCCAGGACAATGCACAACAGTCAATGCAGCCAAAAAATTTTGACTGTATTTTTTTTTTCTATCTTGCTTTCCTTGGGCAAAGAGGACACGTCCAACACCCTACAAAGAAAAAAAAAAAAACAACCAGAAATTATTTGGGATGAACACTATTTGAGAATAGAAATTTTAAATGAATATAGCAACCAATGAATAAAAAAATAAATTACAGGTCGCGTTAAACAAACTGGTCAAACATTTGGGATTATTTATATATTGGTCATTAAATATAAGACACTTATATTTTAAGATGCAGAAGAAATAGAATAAAATAAATCTTGTCTTACAGTGGACACAAAGAAATACACTAATCTTTGAAATAGTTCCTTGTAGACGATGTTAAAGGTGTTGTCTGTAACACAACCATTATCTCCAACCTATGTTTGCTCTTTACTCTCGATATTGCCACATTTAATTGCCATGAGTGAAGACAGACTTAGTGAATTACCTGTGAGATGTCCGAAGGAAAAAGAACGAAATTGTTGTCGCCGTCGTTGCGTCTAGATTACTATCTATCTAAGTTTTTTATATTTAGATAGTAAACATAAGGGGAAAAAAAGTGTAGGAGGGCGGGGTGGGCCGGCCCTCCGGGCCGAGCCCATTTTGTCACCTCTAACTATCAGCATTTTATATAAGCATGTAATAGGTTTTTATATCTATCCACAAAAAAGATTCTTATAGTTGCGTCTAGATTACTATCTATCTATGTTTTCTATAGTTTGACAATAAACATAATAATAGATATAAAAAACTGCTGGCGAACATGGGTGGGTTGGTCTTCCGGGCCGAGCCTATTTTGTCACCTCTAACTGTCAGCATTTTATTTAAGCATGTGATAGGTTTTTATATATATCCACAAAAAAAAGTTCTTATAGTTGCGTTTAAATTACTATCTATCTACGTTTTCTATATTTAGACAGTAAACATAAGGAAAACAATGTGTTGGCGGGCGAGGCGGGCCGGCCCTCCGGGCCGAACCCATTTTGCCACCTCTAACTGTCAGCATTTTATATAAGCATGTAATAAATTTTTATATCTATACACAAAAAAGATTCTTATAGTTGCGTCTAGATTACTATCTATCTATGTTTTCTATAGTTTGACAATAAACATAATAATAGATATAAAAAACTACTGGCGAGCATGGGTGGGTCGGTCCTCCGGGCCGAGCCTATTTTGCTACCTCTAAACTGTCAGCATTTTATATAAGCATGTAATAGATTTTATATCTATCCACACAAAAAAAGTTCTTTTAGTCTCGTCTAGATTACTATCTATCCACGTTTTCTATATTTAGACAGTAAACATAAAAAAAAATGTGTTACCGGCAGGTTAGGCCGGCCCTCCGGGCCAAACCCATTTTGCTACCTCTAACTGTCAGCATTTTATATAAGCATGTAATAGGTTTTTATATCTATCCACAAAAAATATTCTTATAGTTGCGTCTAGATTACTATCTATATATATTTTCTATAGTTAGACAGTAAACATAACGAAAAAATCATGTTGGCAGGCTAACCTGCTTATTTGGCAGGCAGGGTAGGTCGGCCCTCAGGAATAATCTATTATTTTAAGCTTTTAATTTATTTTATTTTAAAGTATAAACATGTCATTTCTTATTTTTTCAATTAAATTTCAAATTTAAATTATTTTTTATCAACTATACATATAATTTTATAATTTTAAATATTTTTTTCGTTTTATATTAGAATTATATTTATTACATATATCTTTTTCTAGTTTTATAGTTAATTCTAGTAAGTATAATAATTAAGCCCAATAGACATAATAATAATTCTTATTAATATATGCTTAACAATTTTTCCTGAAGAAAGTAGTGAACGATATTAAATGATGAATCTTTTCCCACCTATAAAGTTCAAAATTCAAATTTAAAAAGTTTAAATTTTCAATTCTAAATATTTTTTCTCCCAATAGACATAATAATAAATATTATTAATAGGCTTAACAATTTTTTATGCAGAAAATAATAGAAAACATGCATAAAAGTCTGTGCACATTCTCCAAGTAATAACTTCTACTATTCACTCTTCATAAAAAAAAAACTTCTACTATTCACTTACGACATAGAAAATTGTGTTAATTACACTCTTACATAAAATGAATGAAAATTTAATTTATTTCTTATTTATTACATTAAAATTTACATTTCTATAGTGGTCAAATTTTTATAATTTATTATTTACAGAATGATAGATATCATTACTAATTTTTTATTTAAATTTAAAAAATTTAAATTCTTTTGTATTATTTATATATATTTTTTAAAAAATAAGTTTTTTCTCTTTTAATTAATAGTTTCTATATATAATTTTTA